CATATATTATAAGTTTATACATTTCAAGGATATTTTGCTAGCGAGCCAACCCAAAAATTGTTTATGTTTTATATATTTTTAGTTTAGTTTAGTAACAAAAGTTACTTAATGCTTTTAATCTTTTGACATCATTTAATAATAAAGTAAGAAATTAATTCAATACTAATTTCTATTTCTTTTCAAAATTTTCCGCGTAAACTAAGTAAAACACTTGCTTAGTTAAACACATTTCAACTTTTGACCTCATAAACTTAATTACCAACTCACTCAACATTAATTTCTGCTCTCCATCACACAGTGCCGGCAGTGAGTATAGCCTAAACACAAGGTTGTGTGATTGGGCATTATAATCGTATGCATACATAGAAACATAGACCAACAAGCTGTCATAACGTCGTGTCGTGCCCCCCCAGCCTAGACTCAATCGCTGCTGCCACTTGTTGCCACCACGGTTGCCACTTGTTACAAAAATAACCAACCAAAATCTGAAGAAAAAACCAGCCAAATTGAAAAAAAAAACAAATTTGTTATCCACTTTTCTATTACAAAAAGCAAAACTTATTACAAACAAAATAAACAATGAACAATTTTATCGAGCTTGAGGCCGGGTTTTTTAATGAAAATTTTGTGGAAAAACAACATTAATTTATTCTTTGGTAGAAGTTATAGCTGCTATTTTGGAAATCAAAAATTATTGAAATACTTGTGCGTTCACTCACATATTTACTTTTTAAATGCGCATATAAAACATATTACATTAAAAATAGTAATTTAAAAAATTAATTAATTCATTTATGGTATTCAGTATGCGATAATACTTTTTGTAAAGAAAAAATTTGCTAATTTCTAATTAAAAAAAAAAACAACCAAACCAGAGAAAAAACTACCAAACAACCAAGTTAGAAAAATTGAAGAAAAACAACCAACACTGGCAACCGTGTTTGCCACTTTAAACATACATCTACCAACACCACTGACTTACTTTTGTAAGCTATTAAGCTACATAGATGCTTTGGCGGTAAGGTATTGGCTTTCAAATGCATAGGTGCATATCTATGTACTTACATATGTATCTATATAGATAAAAGCATATGTATATGAATATACATCACACCATGCTTTCCACACTACAAACCAAATACACTACATTTTTTCAATGCCGGCCGGTATATTCGATAATTATACACGTCAGAGGCGAAAAAAGTTACAAAAAAAAAGAGAGTTAAAAAAAGAAACGCTACAAAAAGTGCATAACTCCAAGTAAAATAAGCAAGCGAAACAAAATGAACTCGGCTGCCCAGTCAAGTCAGTCAACCAGCCAGCAGACAGACAGTCAGCGCAAACAAAGCTCATTTTTGTGGGCAAAACCGGCGGCATGGCGGTAGCGACGTGGAAGTAACGGGTGATTTTTTAAGAGCTTGATACCTTTTTTTTTTAAAAAAAACGCATAAAATTTGCAAAATCTCATCGGTTCTTTATTTGAAACGTTAGATTGGTCCATGACATTTACTTTTTGAAGATAATTTCATTTAAATGTTGACCGCGGCTGCGTCTTAGGTGGTCCATTCGGAAAGTCCAATTTTGGGCAACTTTTTCGAGCATTTCGGCCGGANAAACCAACGAACCAGCTAGCAGCAAAAAAATTGCAGCAAAATGCAACAAAAAAAAGCGCCGCAGACATGCAAGTAGACGGGTGAGTTGACTTTGAAGAATGCAGACGGTGGGGCAATTACCAAGCGCCAACGGTGCAGCACGCTTGGCAAATGTGTATTTTTGTATATATTTTTATAGAAAGAAGAAATAAGTAGAAAAACTGTGGAGACAGCTCATAAGGAACCGTAAAGATATGAAGAATGGCAGTAGGCGAAACGTCTGCGTCTTTGCCAAATGCAGCCGGTGGTCGAGGCTGTGTTGCCAGCCGACAAACGGCAAGCCATTTCGTTTGGCCGCCACCACGCTGTGTGTTTGTTGGAGTGACATGGCAGTGTGATGGCCAATTTTATGCACATCCAATACAGAAATAGATTTTCTAATATATTTTATAAGATTTTAAACAAATGGCAGCAAAGGCAAGTCAATGCGAACTGGGCGGCGTGACGTTCAACAGATTTGAGATTTGCTGGTTAGTAGTGCTGTGCCACATAAATTCCTCATAAAACTTCTACGACTACAAATTAATAATCTAAAAAGGCTTAACGCTACGATAAAATTAAGCTCGCAAATTTTTCCTACTGGAAACGTTCAAGTTCAATTACAAAAATAATTCTAAGGCAAACTTTTTGCTGTTAAAAATTCTTCCAACAATTTCAAGATGACCAATAGTCTGATTTTTGGGTTCAAATATTTTAGAAAAGGGAAAAATTCTTGACAGAGTCCTTGCAAAAACGCAGACTAAAGAACTAAGGCCCCTGAGGAGACCTAATGGATCCTCCACGAGCAGCTCCCAGGAATGTCTTAAATTGCTAGCCACGGGGCATTTTCCTGGTTTATTGCCTTCCTGACTACAACCCAAACCAACCACAAGCAGACCGATATAAAACGAGCCTACGCAAGGTTGAAAAATTTTCCAGAAACCTGTTCGAGGAGGCGTATACGGTGAACAATCTTCGCCTTCGCGCCTTTCAAGGCACACCTGAAGCAGATGAGATCTTCCCAGCTCATCCCCAAAAGGGAATAACCAATATTCTGCTCTTTTTAATTGTGCTATCCCCAGGGCCTTGGAATTCCTACCACTCAGTGGCAGGAAGTGACGGTCCGATATATACATAAGAAGAGGTGGAAATTAGCAGACCAACAAAACTTATACCGATCCATCAGTGCTTTCTATAAAAAAAAGAGTGTCTAACATAGTCTTCTTATAGAAAACCTTTTTCCTTCACGCTCTTCGGAGTCTCACAAGGAAAAAGAGTTCATAAAGTACTAAGAGGTGACCGTGAGCTCCTTTCTGGACATAGAGACTGCTTTTGCTAACATGGACCACTCTCAAATAGACTATTGCGCTCGGCTCCAAGGGGTTGACGTTACCACATGCCTCTGAATAGGAATCGCCCTTAAAACCAAAACTATTACATCCGCTCCAGCATGGCGAAGAATCATATTCTCACCGACCAAAGATTATGCTCCATCGTTTCGATGGATAGGGTTACCCGGATGTCATTTTCACTTTAGGTTTGAACGGACTATCTCTAACCTCCTACAGAATGCGCTTTCCATAAGAATACGAATAAAAACATAGTAGTTATTTCCTTTCTTGAAAAGGATAATGGTTAAATAGCTAAAACCATTCCTTCGAGGAGAATGCATACACTTCTCTAACTAAGTCAAATAGCTGGGAATTGTTCTTTAAGGATTTCTTGCCTAGATAATACTATTCCAAAGTCCAAGGACTCTATTTGAACCCAACGGGAGCTAATTGTGCAGAACTTACGCGTCAAATCCAAATAGGCAAGCTGGCTGTAAGAAACCATTTCAACGTCCTTTCCCAGGCTATACCGGCTTAGCACAAAGAATTACCTTTGTGAGTATAGCTTAACTTCACAAGTTACTTCAAGGTATTTTTCCCAATAGAACCAACTGGAACAGTGAAGGAGGTAAGGCATGCTGAGATTACATAGCATAATGATAGATGCAAGACTGACCAAATCCTCGGTGTAGGGGTCTTTGGTATACAACCAACAGAGCTTATTTTCACTAGCATGTGGCAAGTTAACTCAGGCTGAGGTGCTTATGAAGGCTTATGAAAGCTCGTGTACGACTGCCTAAGGATTTTAATACGTACTCATTTCCCACGGGAACTGGCATGACGCCCATCTGTCTAAGAATGAACCACAGGAGGCCACCAACTGCTACTTTTGTCTGAAAAACCATGCTTAAATCCGGAAGCCTCAATGTAGTGTGGATGGAGAGCTACTGGCAGAGCACGCCGCCCCAAGATTACCTTCCAGTTTCGAACCATCCATGAAAATGTGCACTGCTCACCCACCCCACCTAAACATTGCGGGAATGTAGGAAGATATGAGGCTACTGTGAGCCATATCGGCGAGGCAGTAATCTGTGTAATCAGGAATGAAATCGAAAGCCTTCAAAACTGCAGAGTGTCAATTAAAAATTTTTTCTATTGTTTTTTAAGATATTGAAAGGTTTTTAAAATTACTGATGCAGATATCTTAGCATTAAATTCTTCTGCCACCTAAGGATATTTACTGACAAAAATGGTTCCAATAAATAATTTAATAGTCAGTATGACCAGATAAATGATCGAAAAAAAATTAAGCACGAAGGTAGACCTAAAATTTTTACAGCTATTTTCAACGCAGTCCAGCTCACAAACGAGCCGGAATTTAGGCAGTGATCAAATTTTATGATTCGCTTGGGAAGCAGAAATCTCTTGCACTGAGACATCCCACGATATATTGATATACCTTCTTACAGACTATATATTCGCATTTGTTCATACATACAGTTGTGGCCGCATAATTAAGGACCGAATTTTTTTACAAATTTCGGCCATTCTCAAAATCAATCCTTCCTACTGAATCTGATCTGAATCCTTAGCTTTTTTTTTGGAAACGTTTTTTATGCCCATACAATTTTAATGCAAAAAAAAATTGCAAAAGCCATCACCAAAAAAAATGTTTAAATCAGCGCGATTTTCAACCCGCTCGAAACTTGCACCTCATTAGGCTAAAATTGTATGGATATAAAAATTCATATCCAAAAATGTGCTAAAGTTTCCGACTTGATTCAGAGAAATTGCGTTTTTTCTAGAAATTCTGATTACAAAGTTTTAAATTTTAATTACTATGTTTTTAAATTTGGCGAATTTTTATAACTTTTCTACAATGTTTGAAACTATGAGTTGCATGGTTTTCGTGGTAGTATAAACAATACTACATACAATACAAAAGAAAGTACAAATGATCAAAACTTGTAAAGAAATAGTATCCCTAATTATGTGGCCACTACTGTATATACTTATTTAGTTAGTTTATTCTACTCACCAATGCTGAGCGGTGTACCAATCTTGCCGGAGACATTTAGAAATTTAAAATCGAAATTTATCAAATTTTTACGACCAAAAAACGACATTGAACCACTGCCGTCACTGACACTATTTGCAGCAGCGGCACTATTTTTCGCTGATTTCTCTGTCGATGTCACAGGTGGGCCCAAAGTTGTGGCGAATGAATGCAATTTTTCCATTAACGTTGTTGTAGCATTGAGTGCACTGTAGGGTGGGCCGGCTGTGGTGGGACCAGGTGTACCAGCAGCGGCGGTTGTTTGTACCGGACCAGCGGTAACAGTGCACAACTTACTAATACTCAGTATGCATGTGATGAAAATGAAATTCGACGAGGTGAAACTGAAGCTGATCAGTTGTTGTACTTTACTTTGGTAATTGCAGCTGCTGCTAAAGAATTTGCTGATTTTCGGCGGTTCGCTAGCGTTAGAGGCTGCGCTGGAGGAAAGTGTTGCCATTGTATGTGTACGATGCAATTATAAAGTAAGTATTAGCTTATGTACTTAAAAATTTCTTCTTTTTTTAGAACTTTTTAAAAATTTTTTCTTTTGTGTATGCTTAAAACCGATTTAACTTTTCTTTTTATCTTTTGATGTGACACTAGTTGGCTGAGGAGGGGAAGAAGCAAAAAATTTTTTTTTTTGATTTTGTATTAATTATTATATTTTTTATAAATCTTTTTCAACACTGCACATTTTCTTGCTGTAAAAAACACTTAGCATCGCAAGCACTACACTTTTCGCATTTTTTAATGATTTCTAAATACTCGTATTTTATAGCTTATAGTTTCACTACTATTTTGAGTTTCAAGTGCTAGTTAACAGCAAGATTTGAATTACGTTTTTTATTTTATTTTTTTATTTTTTTTTTTTGTTAGTTATTTCGCTTTATTTGTTATAATTTTTACTTTTGTAATTAGTTGATAGCTTTTATATAATTCTATTTTAATGTATTCTGCGAACGATCCTAGATAATTTCTATAGCTTCTACATATATAGTAGTTTCTAACCTAAAACCAAATTTTTTTTGTAGTAGACTATTTGAAGCCATGGAGAAAAACCCAAGAGAATTCTAACTTCAGATTTGGACTAAGTGAACCACATTTGAAATTGAAATATTTTGGGCACATGCTTTCTGAACGTTGCCACCGCCTGCCCATATTTATTTTATCTTAATTTTTTTTTATGTAAAGTTTATAGAAAAAATTAAGCTCTCCAACGCTGTGTGACACTTCATGTATGGCCTTTGGGTCAAATGGATCCCACATATGAAAAGGTATCTGAACGCAGAACTTTTATTCTTTTGAAATTCGAGATACAAAAATGGGAGTTACAAAATCAAGTTGACCTTGACATGACCTTCACAGCCATTTTAAGAGTTAGATTTTATTCGAATTTTACAATTTTTGTATGGCTCTATTCTCTATCAGTGACAAATTCTTTTCACAGTTTAAAAAAAATTGTTTGTCACCGATACAGGACAATTTCAAATCAAAACAAGTAAAAAGGTAAAGAAGTACTTATAAGCTCGGGCGAAACCGAATTTTATATACCCCGCACAAGTCAAGTCTATAACAGTCTTATTTATTGTTAAGAGATTGTTGTAAGTATTTTAACTTGGAGTAAATGATCGTCCTCAGTTATTGAAATTTCGGAGTTTTCGTATATCCGAAGTTTACCGTTATACGAGAATCGAGTGTAGTTTTAGACCGTTTTTTAACGAATCACTTTACCGTACTAAGGTTATTAAATGCACCGAGTTTGGTAGAAATTGATAAATCGGTTACCGAGGTACACACTTGTGGTCATAAGTGGGCGGCACCACGCCCATTATCCAAAAATTTATAGTAATCTAATTTTCTGCTCAGTGGTTATAGCTATTTGAGTCCATTAGCTTCAATAGTTGCTGATTTATCGTCTTTCTGTAAATTACCGTTATATGGGAGGTAGGCGTGGCCCAATTTCAAAGATTTTCAGCAAATTTCCTATCTAGATCCTAAGCAAGGCTCGTACCGAGTTTGGGGAGGATTGGTGAAGCGGCTACTAAGATACAGAATTCCATCATAAGTGGGCGGGCTCACGCCCCTTTTACAAAAGTCTCATAATAATATTATTTCATACCAAAATTCTACTTCACATACTAATTTTCAACAATTTGGATCCAATATTTACTCAAATATCGTAGTTTTTGCATTTTTCTAAAATACCGTTATATGAGAAGGGGGCGTGGTTACAGTCCGATTTCGCCCGTTTTAAATAGCAAGCCACCTTGAATAAAGAAAAACCCACATACCACATTTTGTTGAGATATCTCCATTTTTGCTCGAGGCTTAATCGATTTCCTTTTTCATTGGCATCATTAATGTATACATTTGTCTATATCTATTCCGATACTGTTCGCATGTTACAAACAACCGTTATGTTAACAAAGGTATAATACCCTTGGGCCCAAGTGCGCTCTGGTATGGTTAGGTTAGGTTAGGTTGGAGTGGCAGCCCCGCGCCGAGCGCGGAGCACACGTGGCCTGGAAAAGCCCGTTGTGATACCATTGGCCGAAGCCATTTATTTCTTTCCCTTCCTTAGTAATTGAACCACCGAGTGCGTTTTATATAGCACAAAAAGTCGAGGACGTTCGCCGAGTTCAAATCGGCTAAACAATCTAGAAAGTACTTGTTGAAGAATCGGTTGCGCGTGTTGGCCAGGGCGGGACAATGGCAGAGATAATGTTCAACGGTCTCCACCTCTTCCTCGTCTCTGAAACTGCGACAAAAATCGTTGGTGGGGTATCCTAGCCTTTTTCCGTGTGTGCCCATCAGGCAGTGTCCGGTGATAACCCCGACTACTAATCTGAGAGAGGAGCGGTCCAGCAGGGTAAGAGCTATGGATCGCTTTACATCAATTTTTGGTCAAATTTGCCTGGTAGTATGGCAGGTGGTTTCCACAGCCCACCTGAAATTTACCTCCTCGACGAGTTCCGTCATTAGTCTGTGTTTGCAAGAGGTTAGAGGTATGCCCGCGTTCTGAGCAGAATTGACTTCAGATATTTCCGTCCCTCTCCTTGCCAGCTCGTCGGCTAGGCAGTTGCCAGGTATATCCCTATGTCCGGGGACCCATACAACAGTCAAGGAGCATTTTAATGCCAGCAGGTTTGAGAATCTTCCTGCATTCTATGGCTACTTTGGACGTTGTTGCGTTAGAATTGAGAGATTTGATAGCAGCCTGGCTGTCAGAATAGATAGCAATAGGCCGTCCTGGAGGGGCGGAGGCTGTAACCCACCGTGCCGCCTCCATTATGGCGTTTAATTCTGCTTGAAAAACACTACAATGGCCCGGTAAGCGAAAACTGATGTTTAGCGCGAGTTCGTCAGAGTAGATCCCGCTACCCACTCTTTTTTTAAGTTTGGAACCATCTGTATATATGGCCGTAGACCCTGGATTCAGGTCTGTGGCCCCTTCCCATTCGTTCCTCTCTGGGCTCCTTGTGGAGAATTTGTTGTCTAAGCAGAGTAGAGGAGTGGTATAATCTATCTGTCGTAGATTATCCGGTAGAGTTTTAAGCCATAGTGACACTTTGAGTTTCAGAAGCATGATCTGAATCACGGTCCTTTCTCTAGCTAAGTAATTAGTAGCAAATCAATAAGTATGGCGTTGTTGTGCGATCAGAATATTTTTCATGCGTAGAAATGCACCTAGATGCTCTCGGAAGATTTCGGTATGAAAAAGAAAAACTGGAAAAAATCGCTCTCGTTTTTCACTGGTTCGGGCTACAAATGAGGAGTTAAATTTTTTTTTGAATCTCTATTCAAGTATTCAGGGCAGTTAAATATGCCAAAAAAATAAGATCATTTTATTGAGACAACTATGACTATGACAAGGCGATACAATGATTCTCGGATGGAATTTCTGAAAATACACATGATTAAGAAAACGAACACGTTGATGGCGTTATTGTACTTATCTCATTTAATTTCCTACCAAAGATCAATAAAATAATGGCGGAGTGCTGGGTGACTTCTCGCAGAGGGCAAACCAGAATCTAGATTTGGAGATGAAACCTATTATTACTGAAGTGGCCGTGTTGAATATACAGCGATAGTCAGAAATTTAGCACCAAAATTCAAAATAATATTGTTTGCAACTTATGTTTATTTATTTATATTTAATAGTTTTCATTTATATAAAATACTATTTATTCCATAACAGAAACAACATTTCAAAGCTTGCACAAATTTTACAAAAATAAATCAAACTTTAAAAAATGTTCACCAAAATTTCAAACTTTTTATTGAGAATTTTTAGAAAATTTTGGAGTGTAAGTTGCAAGTTCAAGTCGTGAGCTCCTCATCAAGCTGGACAGTATGGATTTTCCTTGACTAACTGGCGTTTTCTAAGGGCACTGTGCAAAATAAACGGTAGAGCATCTTCTCTGTAACTGTCCAGCACTCTGTAGGAGGATTCTTCGAAAGCGATTGAGCCTCTGTCAACGTGCCTACCTAAGTGATAGATCCGTGGAATCTACTTGCACACAATCGTCAGAGTCATATAGGAGTTTTTTAAGCGTAAAGATGTTGCTGTTGATGTGCCTTCCTTGACATTCAGGGGGCATTCAATAATGTATTACCTGAGGCGATAATAAGAGCCCGGACTACGCTTGGAGTCGAGAAACATTTATTTAAGCTCATCTCCAGTATGCTGCACGACAGAACTGTCACAACGGAATGGGGCAATGCCTATGACCAGCCAAAAAGTGAGCCAAGGCACTCCGCAGGCAGGCATCCTTTCACCTCTTCTCTGGATAGTCGTTATAGGCGACATCCTGTAGGACTGGAAAGGAGAGGATGCCAGGTTATCGCCTACGCGGATTATTTGGCACTCATAAGCGGAGGAAAGTTCCGGTCCTCTCTGTATGATCTTAAAGAAGGTTATCAAAACTTAGTCACAGTTGGTCTGCTAACTGCGGACTTGCTATAAATCCTGGAAAGATGGAGCTCGTACTATTCAACAGGAGGTACAAATGCTTCCCTCATACCCACCTTCCATCAATAGGGGGGTTTTCACTTGTTCTCTCTGACAGGGTCAAGTTCTTGGGCGTGAGCCTGAACGGAAAGCTATCATGGTAAAAAGGGCATCGGTGATTTCTTACTACTGTAAAAATGCCATGGGGAAGAGATGGAGTCTCTATCCAAAAGTGATTTACTGTCTATATGAAACCATAATCAAGCCAATCATGTTATATGGGGTCATTTTCTGGTGGAATTCACTGTAAAAGACTACTCCTATTAGGAAGCTAGAGCGCGTGCAAATGCGGCCCTCGTTGGAATCAGCGGAGCGCTCCGGACTTCTCCTACTCTAGCGCTAAATGCTATGCTCAGTGTCGCACCTATAGACATTGCGGGAAAAGCAACGGTAATTCGCTCAGCCATTAGGCCCAAAGACTGTGAGTTTATTTCAACCCAGCGTACAGGCACTGGATAACAGATCCCTCTCCACGCAGGTCCCACCAAGGGGTGAATGGGAGGATGGCTATATCTGGAGTAGGTGTCCAATAAACATCTTCACGGACGGCTTGAAGCTGGACGTGAGAGTTGGAGGAGGTGTTTACTGCCAGAAACTCTCAATCGATTTTATGTTCAGTCTCTACGCGATCTTTCAGGCAGAGGCGGCTGCTATAAAATAGGCAGCTATGTACCAATGTTTTGCCGACAAACATGTGTATTATTCTGCACGTTGCCGAAGGTTTTGTAACCTGAAAATTTTATTGCCAAAAAATGTTATCCGTTCTTGTCTACGCGATTCTGGGTACGTTGGTAATGCAGATAAAATATTCAGCTATTCAGCTATGAAGAATTGTAGAAATTCTAGCATTGCATAATTCACGGGGCAATATTTTGTTACCAGCTTATGAGATGTTAACAAAATTTGCCGGTTACAGGAGTACACAGAATGAAGAAAGGCACTAAAAATATACACGAGCTTTATTTACCGGTTACAAAATTTGTATTACCAGCGCAGAATAGACCTGTAGGAGGAAAAATATCTACTCTGATAGCCAAGCGGCAATCAGGGCGCTGGGACTGCTAATGATACAATCGAAACTGGTCGGAGAATATCTGACCTCGCTCTCAACCGCCTCATAATACTTCCATTTGAGCTAATTTGAGCCCCAGGGCACCGTGATATCAATGGAAATTACAGGGCGGGTGAATTGGCTAGGCAGGGCCCCCTCCAGGCCATCCCTTCGGACAGGGAGGTCATAGGAGTTCCGTTGGCAATCTGCCGCCTGCTCCCGCACAGATGGGCTCATAGTCTGCTCAGCAAGCGTAGGGCAAAAACCCGTCATGCAAAGTTGCCAGGCCTTTATGGCCAGTGAGTAGAAAGCTCCTGCAGCTGACTAAGCTCCAGCTTTTGATTCTTACAGGTTTACTGACCGGACGTGGTCCTTTAAGAAATATACATAATTTCACCATGGGCTGTAACCAAATATTTCTAGGAGAGCGTCAAGAATACAAACGGAAACTTAAAAATCAGCTGACAATCAACTATTGGAAAGGTCGTGGAAACACAACAACAGTTATGAACAGTGGTGAATATTAATAACAAAAACAATACAACTTTAAAAACAACAACAAAGTAAACAAAAAGGAATCGATGTCAATGAAATGTGTGTTAGTGTGTGTAAATATCAGACAAATGGCAACAAAATTATTTAACCTAAGCAAAATGGCATAGCACATTCAACATTTGCATATTTGTTTGTAGATTTTATGAATAAGCAAATTGCAAATCATTTAATTTCTTCATAAAATTGCGAGAAAGAAGAATGAGAGAACTAAAGCAAAAAACAATGTCAATGAAAAATGTGCAAAAACCGTGTGTATGTCAGAGAGAGATATTGCCTCTGCGGCACCAGACAAACGAAAACAAGTTAACACAACAACGCTATTGGCAAGTTCAGCGAAATTTTTGGCTAACATTACGAACAGCAAAATGTGGCCAAAACAATTACTCAACAAAAAGAGAAGAGAGATGAATGAAAAAATCAGATAATTAAAAGTGTAGAAAGTAATAAAGTAAGAAAAACAAAAAAAAACCAAGCACGAAAAGAGACATCGAATGCAAGCGGCAGAATGAGAAAAAAAAAGTAGATTGGAAGCTAAGAGACTAAATAATAATAATAAGACTAAAAAATAAAATATCGAAAAAGACTGCTTGTTGTCTAGCCAATTTACAGAATAACGGCTTAATTGCGGCGAAAAACCGGCTTAAACTAATAGGAATACGCAAAACTGTGCGCACTAGTTGGTAAGTATGACAGTCAAATTTTTATTTTGCGGAATTTCAAGAGCAATTTTCTGCGAAACTATTAGAACAGCAAAGCTAGATAATCAAATATTGAACATTTAACATTTTATTAACATATTTGTAAAAAAAAATAATAATTTTTTAGCGCGCCGAGCGGCTTGTCACATGGCGAGCGCAACAACAACAACATCACAAACACTTTCCGTATAAAAGCGCGCACTCAATTTTTTGACGTTTCATTAGCGTGTAGGTATGTACATGTGCATGTACACTCAGCTTCGTTAACATGCGCCAATAAACATTTTGAAGGTTTCACGTTAACTTCTTCGAACACTTTTTAATGTGAAATCGCTTAATTTTTAATAATAACAACAACCTTAACACAATCAACTATTTTTAAATTAAGATTTCGCTTTGAAACAAAATAACTGTTACGAACTAATTTGGCACTCAACAACAGCAAACACAACACTTTTTTCTTTACCGATTTATTTTTTAACATTTGCACTTTTCTCTAATCACACTCGCTTCATGTAATAAAGTTTTCGTTATATATTTTTTCTTATACATATATGTATATATTCTTATTCTAATTTTAACACTCTTTCGCTTGCGCACCAAACGGTAAACGGTTCTTCTACCTAAAAACACGTTACGCACCCGAACCGAAGAAACCGTCGTCGAACACGCAATTACACGATCGACTTCGACACGAGGACGCACAACAAACGACTAAAAATTGCAATTTCTAAAGTCACACGCTGAACGTCAGACCACAAGCGAGCCCAGTGGCAAGAAAAAAAAAACAATAATGAAATAAAAATTAAAACAACAAACACATGAGGAACTCCAATAAGAAAAAGAACCTACTCGTATGTATATTATCACATGCGCTCTCTCCGAACTTTAAATGCTTCCCCACCTCCTATGGTTTCCCTCCTTACACATGACAGCCGGTTCCATTGGATCACACGTTTTGTATGCCAAGATCTATGCTCACCTGTTGGCAGTCGCAGGCATACCTACATACACAAACATACTTGCATACATACATATGTACGAATATGGAGAGCACTGAGCAGCAGAGATTGCGTGCTCTTTTGTACAACCAAAAGGTAGCCCAGTGCACGGACTTCGAAAAAATTTATTATTTACATACAAAAAATGGTAGAAGTTGGTAGATTTTTTTAAAAGCAAAAATGTGGTGTTATCGGTGCAGCTGGATTTTCGCCTCGGTCGTTCTGGATGTCAAAATGATGTATGTATTTGTGTAATTTTTAATGTAATTTTGCGTAGTTGGTGTCACTTTTATTTCTGTACTCCTGCTATAACATCGGGATAATTCTCGTTTTTTTATAAAAGAACAAAAAATGTATTTCACGCCAATAAAACATTCAACAAAAAACATAAATCACACTGGGCCCAAATCATGGCATCCGTGATCGAATGAAATAAAAAGACAGCTGCTTTCTCTCAAATACATTTTAAATCGAAAAAGCGAGCTCGCTATCAACTGCTGTAATCTCATTGAGATTATCTCAAAAAGATTTTCGATTCGAATTTAATTCCATCACGGATGCCGTAATTCGAGCCTGTATTAATTTAAAAAGGAACTCAAACAATCACATACCTCCACTTCAAGGTTTTTTGATTAAACTGAGACCATTCGCATGGCAGTCCTTCACAAAAAGCGTATTGCAAGCGAAAAGTATTTACATAAACCGCTAATAAATAGAGTTGCAATTTCACGTTTAAATTGGTTAGGGTCAGAGTTAACTTTTCATATTCATTTTAGGTGTGTTCGATGACAAAATATGCATACAGTGCGTTCTTTAAATCCCTTTTTTCTTTCCGGTAAATATCTGTAGATTTTTAGCCTTTGCTGGTAAAAATGGTAGAAAATAAAATACAGCTAAAAAGTCGGTAGATCTACCAATAAAGTGGCAAAGTCCGTGCACTGAGGTAGCCACTTCAAAAGTGTTCAAATAATAACAATTTTCTCTGCTAATAAATCAAATCGGGTGTACTGACATACATACATACCCGTGTTAGTATATCTTTGATAATCACTTAAAGCACGCGGAAACACAAATAAATAAAGAAACTACATTTAAAAAGTGCTTAGCTAAGTTTACAATATCGCTCTTTTGCTGGGGAAGTCGTTTTCACACTCTTTTTTCTCAAAGAGAACTTTAACAGCCTCGCTGTATTTGCTTAATATCGTTCAAAAAAAGAGTAAACCCCACTCCGTAATATCGTATTTTTTAAGCCACTGTTAAGCAGTAAAAAACTGCTGCAGTGCTTAGAATAATACAGCAAGCAAAAACTTTGCATTTCCTTTATCCAAATGAATAATATTTTATCGTACACTGAGAAAAATTTAACATGATTTTTTCAAACAAAACTGTAAAGAAATATTTTTCATTATTTCTGTTGCTTGAAAAGTTCTTAGCCTTTGCTGTAAATTTTCCTGCAGAAATAAAAAAAAGAAGTGAAACTTCTTAAGCGGCGGTTGTTTGGTTGGGAGTAAATTGGCAAATTTAGCGGAAATGTTGATTGGCAAGCAAAGCAAATAAATATTTTTTCTCGCTGTGTAAAGAAAGCTGTTGTACTCCACGCTGTCGGTGATAAAGCTCAAAGCTCTATTGTAAAAGTTCGAATTGGACGTAGCTGATATAGAGACACAGAGAATCACTGCAACTCATATTCTTAACTCGCCACACCCAAACTCACCACACCTCAACTAAGCTCACCACATTTGATCTCACCATACCTTTACTCACTAAAACTGAGCTCATCATAACCATTCTCACCACACCGCACCTAAACTCAGCATACCTTACCTCATTTTGGGAACAATTTCGGGATTTTAGAGAATCTCGGAACTAAATCAGTATTTTTAAGACCATCTCCGGGTTCTCGATTTGTTTTCGATATTATTCAATCGTTATAAATACCGATAAAGAATGTCGATGTTGTTATCGATATATTTATCGATACTGTTCTCGACATAATAATCAACATTTTTATCTTTATGATAATCGATATTTGTTATTGAAATATTTGTCAACATATCTATCGATACTGAAATCAATATATTTATCGATATTCATATCGATATAACAATCGATATACCTATTTTTGGATAAATTTGATTTATGGATTGATTTTGCAATCGTCATATTTATCGATGTTATTATCGGTATTTCACACAAATTTATTACCGTTATCACGTTTATCGACAATTTTAAAAATATAATAGTTTGAACGATTGTAAGAAATTTTATTGAAGACACATTTACATACATATGTATGTATGTATGTACATGTTCTGCTATTTTTTCTCAGTGTAGTTTTCTTAAATGATCGCTAGTCTTTTATTTAACGGATGTATGTAGGTATGTATATGTATGTTTGTTTTTATCACAGTTTTATGTAGATAACTACTAGACATTGCGGAAGGTCATTGATAAGCGTAAAAACTTGGTAATAACCAGTATGACCAGATGATCCCAAAAAATGCAAATAAATTGAATTAAAAGAAGGTTAGAAAGAGTTGGAGGCAGTGAAGAAATAAGCTAAAAACAGCAACCCTATGAATTCAAATGGACATTAAATTAATTTTTGAATTTTCTCGCTCAAAACTTCCCAGTCGACCTTAAAACCCATTTTTTCTGAGCTCTTAAAGCGATAGGCCTTTCGACTCGACCCCTTTTTTGTATGGCGCGCTGTCTCCAGTGGTGTTTTTCGCATCCGTTTGTTAAAAAAAAAAACATCCTCTCGTCTGCATCCAAATTGCAGAGCTTTTGAATGGTCTGCCAATACAACTTCCAAAGATAAGATCCTGTCTAAATATGTTAATTCGTCACATTTTCCCGTGTAGGAAAAAGCGATAAGGATAAGTGGACAGCTCAACGCAATTTATTTTAATATGTATTCCTAAAAAATCGGATTTTTTCTCAGAGTAAAAACAAATGAGAATTACTTATAACAAGCTCCGAGGCTAGAGCAAATATATAATTGCTAAATTTAGCTTGAAAAAGTGTAATCTGGTCACACTGGTTATAACAAACTATGTATCCATATTATTTTATTAAAGTGTGAATTTTTTGAATAATCGGATTTGTTTCGTTCGTAGAATGGAATGACTTGACGTCAATACCAGTGATGGGCATTCTTAAGTACATACTTTTGTTTTCAAAGTACCAGTTTGGATACTAAATACCCAAATAGTCTGGTCTAAATTATTGAAGAAGTCGTAAAACTTCTCCAAACGAATGAACCTGGATGGTCCACAGTGTTCTATTTTGAAAAAAGGGACATAGTATGCTTTCTTCGGTTATTAAACTATGGGAATGCAACCTACTTTGATAGCACGACGCCATGTCTATATTTGGGATATCCGCAAAACTAATATGGCTATATAGAGTGACGTTGAGCACAACGTTCAGCTCCGTTCAAATTGGGAAGTACCTTTCGGTCGACTATCGTGCAACTCTTTGAATCAGACACCCCAATCTATATACAGTAAATGAACGATGCCTGATCATTCGGAAAGTCTGCGCAGCATTTTCCAGCTGAGAAAAAAAAGCTAAAGAAATTAGTCTATCGGTGAACAGGGAAAAGACAATTTCTACGTTACTGCGTTTGTCGTTTCACGAAATCATTTCAAGAAATTTAATTTTCGTACATGAATTGAACAACAATTGCGACCTAGTTACCGATGTTCAGAACGTACTTAAATTATGGAGGGAACATTTCTTCACCCTACTGAATGGTAGCAGCTTGGAAAGTTGCGGAGAAGAAGAACCCGAGCCCTCAGTCAATGATGACGGAGTTAATGTTCCTCCGCCTGACTATGACGAGGTACGAATAGCAATAACGCTGCTGAAAAACAACAAAGCTGCTGGAGCTGACAGCCTGCCAGCTGAGCTATTCAAGTACAGTGGCGAGGAGATGATAACTCAACTCAACTCAACTCCACCACCAAACGGGGTTTCAGACGGGCCGACTTCCTTTCATGTGACTCCTTTAATCTGGTGTTGGAGAAGATAATAAGATCTGCCGAACTGAACCGCTCTGGAACAATATTTTATAAGAGCGTGCAATTGCTGGCGTATGCCGATGACATCTGCCTTTTTCAAGTTGGATAAGGAAGCAAAGCGAATGGGACGAAGTACCTCCTGTCATCAAACAAACAGTCAGCGCATTCGCGCCTTGACACCCACGTCACTGTTGACAATTAGTATAATTTCGAGAAAGTAGAGAATTTCGTTTACTTCGGAACCAACATTAAAGCTGATGCCAGATAAAACTTTGTAGCTTTGCGTGACATTTATAACTTTGCCAGCAAAGCGCCAGACGCAAAAGGTATGCCACAATGAACGCCAAGAAATCAATTTTTTACTCGTCAAAATTGCTGTGGATTTTAGATATTTTGCTTTAAAATTATCAGCAATGTAATTGAGTTTTATGTTTCAGCATGAATACCCGAATTTGGACGAAACAAAATAAATATTAAACCGGCTGATTGTCAAAGCGCGCAAAAAGATGGGAGTTGGCCATCTTTTCGCTTCGCGCTGCAGCTTCAATGATCTATGTGGCATGC